AACCCTTCTTAAAATTTGAAATTAAACCTTCCAGCAGCTTGGACTTTCTAAGATTAATGTATCAGTGGGTTCTGTTTAAATTTTAAAATTCTTCGTAAGAATTGGAATTCTTCAAATGCTTATAGTGCTCTGAAGCTTCAATTGTGAATAAAAAAACAATTTATCTTAATTAATAAAAATTTGTCACCTGATGCCCCAAATATCACGATACTGGCGAGAACGTAAAGAAACGTAAGCATCGCAACTGGACTTATAGTTTTTTTGTTGACAACGAGTGAAGTATGAATCTGACATGCTACAAAACATTTGAGGAGTATTTATACCAGCTATGCACTTAATGACCGTGGGAATTAAAGATACACCTGGACGGTATTTAAATTTAGGTCAGATATTACCTACGAAAAAGTTCATTCTGATGTATCTCACGTGCGGCATGATAAAAGCTAAGAAAAACCGTGACCGACCGACCGGGTACCGCTACCGCTTAAGAGGAAAACGATCCTAGACTAACAATTCTATGTGAAACATGTTCGATTTATCACTCAATGAGTTTTACGACCATGTCCTAACAATAGATCTCACAATCCTTCTGTAATAGTTTTCGTTTTCGTTTTATCTACATCTTGTCCCAATTTCACGTTTCCGGTCTTGCGTCGAGAATTCCTTCAACGGGGGTACCTTTCGTCGCAGCATAATCCTATCGACTCCATTCTTCCAACGACGACGATAAAAAAAAAAAAATAAATTAACGTATAAACGACGAAATATGCCTCCTGTTTCTCTCAGTAAATTATTTTTAATTATTACAATTACGGAGTTGGTGAAAAGGAGAAGGTTGAAGCACGAAATAGCGAAGAGATATTCTTCTTCTCTCTATTTGATTCCTAAATGATCCCAGAGTCGCCAGGAGTGTGACTGAAATGGTCTCGCGAGGAATTAAGACGAACAGGCAGTCACAAATCATTTTTCGACAAAGGAACGTTCACAGTTTCGAAGTGAGCGGCGATTATTTGGCTCGGCCGATTCGCGTCTCTTTGCCGATCAATGGTCTCAAAGGGAATTATTCGAGGTTCTTATTAAACGAGCGCGCAGGACAATTTAAAAAGGCATAAAGCTGCACAATTTATTCCATTATGACATGACTCACCCTGATTATGTTCCATTCAGAGACGGTGACTGGGTGATTGGCCTCATTCAAATTGTATAGTAGTGGTAAGGGTCTAATTCTGTCGTCATACACGAACGCACTGTGCGCTCAAATTAAACTGATATTACTGTTAAATATCGCTGTCGTGGACATTTCGACGCGACTCTTCAGAATCCACCGGTGTACAACATAGACGAAAGAGAAGAAAAAAGGAAAAAACTAATTTAATTTTTACTCAACTCGATGAAAGTTGTATTCCTAACAATTTCGTACGATTTGCACAATCGATGAATTGCGCTTGCTCGTTTGTTCCTGGGTGTGGTTCGACAAAAGCTGTTTTAGATCCAGCTTGTGAAACGAACAAAGAAGAGGATGGATCGATGATTTTCTTATGCGATTAAATAGAGATAGAGAGAGAGAGAGAGAACAAGAGAACATCAATGGTATACAACTTGAACTTCCTTTATTTAAATGAAACAGAGGTAATATGAACCGTCGATGTAGCCGTTTGCTTGTACAAAATCAAAAATCCAGTTTCGTCGTGCATTTTTTTTTTCTTCTTCAAATGTTCGATACCGTCAGAAGCAATTACATCCGCGAAGATGCGAAACTGTTGCGTGTTATTCTAATTAATCGGAAACTTCGACGTTGACAGAGACGTGTTTGGGTGTCGCAACCGCTCATATTCCTCGTGGCGTGTATGTACGTATAAAATATTCATGTTTCTCACAACCAGAAGTTATTAGTCAGAACTATACCGCTTCTCCCGTGCATACAAGTAAATAAATAAACGTAGAGAAGAAAAAAAAGAAAAAAAAGCTTGGCCGTAAGTAACGTATTTTTTTTTTCATATATATATATATCGCGTATATCTTTTTTTCTCTTGCGTTATTCGAGCATCGACTAACGCTATATA